CGTTGGGGATTGGTAATTCAGCCTGATCTACCATCTCCGGTGAGTCAGAACTCATTGCTCCGTACTCCGTACTTTGTAGAATACCCAGAACTGTGGACTTGAAACCCGGAGAGTTATTCGGCCGAGGAACCATATTATTTGTCCACAATACTTCATTACTTTCCTTATAAACACCAGCCACATCAGAATGAGCCATGTGGCTGATGCCCAAAGGTTCGGGTCGGCCGTCCCAACGTTCCATTCCTGCACAACATGGGAAGAAAATTATGCAGAGCACATTCTTCTCTTTCCTTCGTTCTCTGACCCCATTTTTTTCAAGACTCAAATGCTCTGAATTGTGGCTGTGAAATAATTGTCTACCAACTGTCTTTCAATGGTCTTGGTCCGATTGTCTTAGGATTGTCTCGCGATGTCTCCCCACTACGCGCCAATCGGCGGATTCCGCTCGGCCGTAGTTCGACAGACGCGATAGTCAGCTGACCATGCATCTAATGGCATGATAAGCTCAAGTTAGACTCGGGACCATGGATCTAGTTTGGGTAAAGGAACTTGATGACCAGCTGACCCCAGATCTTGGGTCACCATAGGTCTTTTGTTTTTGTTTTTGTTTTTTGTTTTGGTTCTAAGCAAAGGGCTGTCGTGTATATTTTCCTTGTCTTACACCTGCTCCCCGATGTAAGTAAGCGCTTGTCTCTATAGGACTTAGCTCTGGCATAGGCTCGGTGGGAAATGCCCAATTTGTACTTATCATTGTTAGGCTACACAAGGATCTCATGCGTAAGGTTCTAAGATCAATGTCACATGGTCCCTTTGCTGTGGGCTGATTGCCTTAATTTTCTGGTCTGCATTGTTCGATAATTTTGATGATTCGATGACTCGATCACGTGTGAATCATATGTTTTCCTTTTTGAGTCAGAAAATGTTGAGAATTAATTTGGAGTATTCAAAGATAGTTTTAATGTTGAATTAGGTATTTTCAAAATTTTCACAATTTTCACAATTTTCACGGTGCTCGGGCCCCTATACGGAGTAGAGGTAGCTACATTGTGAGCGCGGCCTTTGTGGCACGCGGAACACCTTGAGTAGCGTGGTACGAACGCCATGTACGGAGTACTGTGGGTTACATCCGAAATTTTCTGTTTCAGCACTGTCACCCTTCAACCGTGCATATGCATATGGCTTATACGCTAAATGCCAGGGTATCAGATTGCAGATCAAGGGCCTCCGAACCGAGCAGCATCGGCAAACCCCGACTTTCCAGCTTAGATCTTGTTTCAGCACCAAAACAGAAGGCAGCAACAATAGTCTAACAGGTGCCCTGTGACCTCTCGAAGATCCCCCTTTGAAAATCCACTAGCGCAACAATAATCCGACCGGCATGTTTTCGGGGCCAAGTGATTTTCTCGGTCTGGACACGCGAACTCGGGTCCGGGGTCTGCCGTGCTTACCGACCAGTCTGGCCCAATTCCAGCTGATCTCCCTTTCTCCCTGGACAGATCTATGAAGATCTTGGCAAATTCCTCAAGGGTATGCCAAAACGTGGCCTACAGAGTCCGGGGAAGTGGCAAACCGGCCTCGGCTGATCCAATTATCCAGATCCAATGGCCCACTCACAGTGGAATGTGTAAATCTGAGGGCGGATTTGCCTACTACGTGCCGAAGGCACCCTTGTTTACAATCTACATAACCTTCTTCTCAATTGGGTAGACATCAATTTTGTTCCTCATTGCCAATAGAGGGCCCCTGCACAAGGATTCAGAAAAAATACGGAGAAAAAATTTTCACCGGCATCTAATTCCGACGAGAAAAACAAACCCTGTGTCAGCACTTTAAATTCGGGTTTCTCGGCGATGGGTCTGCGAGATTGTCATGCAGGATCATATTTAGTAACAGTCTAATGCACAGTGAAAACTCTTCAATGTAATTGATTGGGCTTGACGCTAGGGCAGCACAGCCACTTCTCGGTACTGCCGTTACGCCGTTCAAGTTGCCGGTTTAACCTGTTACCATACAGCACTTGGGCAGCCACGATCTGCATGTAATCGAATTCGGTATTTCTGGTATGTTCCAGAAGGAATTTCCGTGGCTTGTGTATGCCGCTAGCGCTGCACTCATTCTTCTGGAAGCTTTCTATTTTCGTATCGGAATGTCGGCCTCCGGGCATTGCCGACATCGTCGGAGAACCATGCTTCCTGTTTCCAAATTCGTTTTCGGAGACTTGTTTTTTTGGATATTTTGGCGGGGGATTTTTCGCAGTGGCTGATTCTGATTTTTGATTATCCCGATGTTCGTAATTTGGGATTTCTAACACTGACTGTTTGTTCTGACTCACACATTGGTAATTTGAAGGGCTATCACGTGTCCGTTTAGATTTTCGAGGCTAGCCGCGCATGCACATGCTATGCGCCTCGTCATCTTGTGTTAGGAAAACTTTAGAAAGAAGGCTCCTAGGAGCTTTGTTGGTGAAATTGTCTTGGCTATGCAGCTCATGACAGCAAGGGATGGCAGCTTCCTTACTTGGTTGCCTATGTACACGTGTGTTCCAAAATTCTAGAAGCTCGCCACGATTTATCTCTGCATTCCGGAATGCCACACGTCTCTGGTGGCATTGTAATACACAGAAATTTCTGTTTTGCTCAAATTTGATGTCTAATCGTATAGAGTCGGAAACTGGAACCCATTAATGGCCAGGCACCTTTTGAGCCAGCCTTCAAGTCCATTGCTTGTGATGGCCATTTTGACAGAACCTTAGAGAACCCTAGCAAATTGGCTCTTGGGGGGAATGAAAGTTCAACTCCTGGTATCTGGTTAAGGAGAGCACGAGGATGGCATATATTGGTAGAGACGTAGCCGCTTCTGTATCATGTTTTGTCGTGACCCAAGGATATATGGGTTACATTGAAAGTTTCGGAGCTCCAACCGATAGAAGTTATGCAGCAATTTTAAACTGGACGCCACGGATAACAATGAGCTTACCGGCTGGGGCTGTAGGATGCCGCCTTGAAAATGAGGTGGCAAGCTGCAAGGTATCGGTATTTCCTGAACAGGAAAGGGAAGGTAAACACTGAATATTGTGGCATTTAGTCGCAAACAAGTTTGATCCCTACAGAGGTAGATGCCATGTTTAAAGTACAGAGTTCCTATAGATGAGTTTTCGAGGCGATGACATCGGCTTACAATACAAGAAGCTTTCGAGTTGACCACAAGCTAACTGCTTTGTCATCTCATCGTGACAATAACTATAGCCCTTCAGATGGAACTTTCATCGAGGACAATTAGATTTCTGTATAAAATAGACTCTTGCATATTAATCTAGGTTGCGTCGGTACTTACCCAGCTACTTATTTAAAAGCTTGAACCAACCATGAGAGTAGTCTCATGAGTTAGAGTCCTCTTGGTGGAAGACTTGATGTACGTAGTGAGTCGCTACATTTTGTTTTCGATTCAAATCAACTTTCTTTATGTCGACAAATAATGATCTTTGTTTCAACATCCCAGCATGTTAGCTCAGGGGAAGAGCGCCGGGCTCATAACCCGGAGGACCCTGGATCGAAACCAGGACATGCTAGACCTAATTTTTAGGGGAGGGTTTTTTTTTCTTCTACTTCTCACCACACCTTAAAAATGCAAATTTTCCCATGCAGGCCATAGACAAATCGTAAAATTCAAAATCCTACAGCACATCCGCTGTTGCGATACTTGTATCTCAGCGATGGCGGGCGCTTGGTCTTATTTTGGTGGGATGGGTACGGCGTCTCTGAATGAGGAAGATGTCTGGTGCGATTATTGGGTTGCACCAGTGAGAGAGCCCATCACGGCGCCAGATATAGCCCTGCTGCTTATTTGCCTGTTCTTTGTCATGACCTGTTGATATGTGGCTGTGGATAAAAATGTGGCATGCATGTCTGTATCATCGGACTGACGACTATGATCCATCTGGGTGAAAGAATTGAGAGCACAGAGATGTGGTCGTAGAGATCTGGAGATCCAAGTGTCTTGTAAAATTTGTTGACCGAGTCAAGATACAGGCTGGGGTCCAGTGGCACTATGTCGAATTAGTCGCAAGCGTTGCTGAAAATTCTTATACTGTGCAATTGAAATCACAGCTGGTTCCATCGTGGCAGTTTTCGGTATTCTAGAAGCCCCATTCGGACGATTGGCTGGTCACTTGCCCTGTTGGACATCGAAGATGATATCCATGGATTTCATCCCGAACAAGAACCCAACACGTTGATGGGTTCATCAATATCTCTTTCGGCCAAGTTTTTCACTTTGCGGCGTATTTTTCCTGCTAGTTCGCAACGACCAGAGCTCATTTCTGCTATCGGGGCTCTCTGCAAATGAGATTTCGCAATTTTAGGCCGGGTTGGGGTTGACGGCGTGAGGATACGAGGTCTTTTCGACTTCACTGGGCAGGCAGTTCGGAGGTCTACGAGGTCCTAGCAATTTGACGGTCATCACAGATTCTGCAAGGATTTGATTGGGTCTTTTTTTGTGCGATGTGGTGATTGGGGTATTCGTGTAGATCTCCAAATGCCCCCGTTAATTCCATTGCTGTGATCAGAACAACACCTCTGGTGTCCTATTCTAGTCTCGCTTACCCCTATCCGCACTAGTCTTCTCTGTTCGTGGCCAAGCTGATGGGTGGTTGTTGGGGTGTCAATCAAATCGGCCTAGGGTATCGAGCTGGTGATTTGGTTTTACACGTGGTGCTCACTCTATTATACGATCTGATGTCTGCTTTTGGTTTCATTTTGATCTTTTCTATTCACCTTCTGGGGAGTACAACAGCTCCTTGGTATTATTGTTAGTGCACTTCGCTCGAGGCTGATCCCTTTTTAAAATGCCCAACGGCAAATTAACCACCATTACCGTTTGTTTATTGGGACAATGGACTTTGAATTATTCCAATGTTCCAGTCTTATTCTCAGCAGGTCTCACTTAAGCCTTTCTGTTTTTTCTTCGAGGCTAACTTTGGAGTTAGCACCCTACTGGGTATCCTACCGAACCCAGTTGAGCTTACACACTCCATGGCGATTCCAGTCGGCAACCGTTCTGTCCATCCTTGCTACAGCCAAATCAGATGAAAACTGGGGGATGGATTTCATCAAGGAATCTGTAGAAGCCATGGATTCAGTTCCACTCCAGTTCTCATGCATACAGGGTTGTCCATGGTTATTTTCACTGCCAGGTCTCGTAGACATTGGTCATCTATAGATGTCGTTTTGTATATCTCATGGACGGCATGCGGGAACGTGCTCGAGTCCAGCCAGCGCCGAGTCAGCTCTTTCTCAAGCGTCTCTTTTGAGGGAGCCTTGAGCCCATGGATGCACATTTGGTCTGCAAGTGAGTACATCGATACAAGAATTGACAAGGCGTTGCATGCGGACACCGTTTTATCGTCTGTGCCATCATGATTTTCCGGCCTATCATGAGCTGCCTCTTCGTCTGGTTGTCGAGAAGGGTCCGCTTCTGAGGAATGAATCGCCACGTGGTAGTTCAGAGTGTAGGGATATTCAATCATTTGCCTGACTGGAGTCGGCTCATAGAGTAACACAACCCTATTTGTAGTCGGTTCCTGTATTTAGTTAGCTAGTAGAAACCTCTTGGATCGGTCTTGTTCCCGTCATCTCAATATTCGTTTTACCGTCAATCCACCATCGCACGCTTTGGCAAAGAAATCCGACCTTGGGAAGACTATGCATTTGCGCACAGCGTATTCTTCGTCGCCACACACAGTGATAAGGTCGCTATTTTTATGGTCAAGACGTATGCTATAGTTTTGTTAGTGCTGTTATTTTGTCAATGTTCATATGATAGTCCGGTTCCTTGCTAACCTGCGGAGGAGCTCTTCGAACTGTGTACTTCTCGGTGATGTTTTTTTCTCCATCGTGGTGTACTCTCCATCGTGGTGTACTCTCCATCGTGGTGTACTCTCCATCGTGGTCGTACTGTGGTAGATCTTGGTGGTGTTGATACTTGGCTCATCTAGTGATGATGTAGACCGAACGAGGGGTGGATAGATGCAAATGTACATCCTACGGTCTGGTTCCATGGGTGACCTGTATACTGAATCAAAAAAAAACTTGCAGGTCTGAGGTGTTTGTCTGCATTTCAGCTGATTTGCTGGCAGTCTTTCTCTTCTCTGTATATTTAAGTTAGTCTATTCGGTGACGTGGCTGGCGGATTTGATCTGATTCGGATTTTAACTTCTGGGCAGGGGTGGCCCATCGGTTGCCAGGCAGTAGTCGTTCGCTTACCAATCTTAGAGGATGTCTTAGGCACATGTAGGCGTATACATAAGCTCTTACAAACTTGACAACATGCAGGAGTTTGGTTTTTCTCACGTATACCTATCGTCAAGTACGTTGATGTTTGCTGCCGGCAGATGCTGTTTGTGGGCGCCCTTTGGCCTGTTGCAAGGAGGTTGCAGCTGCACTTCCTCGCTTACTAGTGTGGTATTTCGCCATCTAGCGGACTAGGCCTTGGACTCCTTTAATTTTTAGCCTTGTAAGGTGTAAGTACTGAAAGGGCGCTCCAAGCTAATTCTGCTGTGCTTGTGGAAGCGCCCTCGGTCGTTGTGCCAAGGACGACAGTTGGGACCCCCTTTTCAGGTGTTCGACTCAGTCCTTCTAGAAAAAAAGAACGGACTTCCGCCAGATTTCGAAAGGAGACCATGGAATTTGAGTTTTGATCTTGATCTTTCGGCCTATCTCTAGTGTACTTCCGTTAAGATGTGAGTTCTTGCAGCTTGGTTGTGGGCAGGTCGGAGTTTAGATTTATGGCGCCAAGTACAGTTGAACTGCCGTTTTGGGAGGTTCAACTTCAACTTGGATTATTGTCTTTGCCACGCCACCATGGTGGTCTCAATGGTTTCAATGTGGGCAGTTGAGCAATCCTCGATGTCTTCGAATTCTTGTAATGCAACTTGTGTGGGGGCTTATACCGTTTTACGTGTTGATTGCGAGTCTAGTCTATCGCTGGCATTGAGATATATATTATAGACGAGTGTCTGTGTCCTTCACACAATTTCCCACCCTGAGCCACCTCAAGCCAACATGCCACACGAGTTGACAACGATGGCAGTGGAGCATACAAGTTAAATACAAGCCACGAAAAGTGGAGATAAAGTTGACACAGGCACATACAAATGGTAAGTATTCTATGCATATCATGGAAGAAAATCAGCGATAGCGTGACACAGGTAGAATCGATTGATGGACGGTTGAAGGAATTGGAAGTTCGGGACTACAAAACGAAGATTTAATCAAACCCACACAAAATCAAGGATGAGTCGATGGCGAGGATGGAAAACGCTCAGGCCATCCAAACAACGTGTCAACCATCCATAAACCACGAGGACGTCAGCTGCGAACAGCAAAAATGGCCAGCTCCAACTATCAAAGCGTGCTGAGCACCGCAATACAAGCCAAGATACCGTACTTCTACCAAACGAGGTTTACTACTCGCAAAACCAAAAGAAGTCCAAAAGATTATTTCAAGTTTTGATTGTATTCGTATCGGATCGCACTTAAGTGCTTGATCCCACCATGTCCATGGTGCCAGCCGTAATTTGGAGGCCGCTATGATACAATAAATCTCAGAAGCGCACACCATGGACGCGCAATAGTGGTAATCGAGTGTTATGAAAAGCAAACCCAGAGACCCATGACAGTTGTAGTAAAATAAATCAGAGAACACCCCAACGTCCCGTCGTACCGTGAACCAGCCCGGAAAAGAAAAGAACAAATGATTTAGCCACCGAAACCGTAGAGGGTACCTGAATAAGAAGGTTAGAGACGCGTTGTAGAACGGAAAGACACGTGAAAACTTACGGCCCTGGCGCTTGAGAGCGTAGACAACGTCAAGAGAAGTGACAGTCTTGCGCTTGGCGTGCTCAGTGTAGGTGACAGCATCACGGATGACACCCTCGAGGAAGGTCTTGAGGACACCACGGGTCTCCTCGTAGATCATAGCGGAGATACGCTTGACACCACCACGACGTGCGAGACGACGGATAGCGGGCTTGGTAATTCCCTGGATGTTGTCACGCAAAATCTTGCGGTGACGCTTGGCACCACCTTTGCCGAGACCCTTTCCACCCTTGCCGCCTGAAACGAGACGCGTTAGAACGCGCTTCTTGCTGAAAAGATTGTAGTGTGGGGTAATAACTTACGGCCAGACATCTTGAATATGGATTAGAAGAAAAGAGAGATTTGTTTAAGTGGGTTGAAGAGGAGATGGTAGTTGAGTGGTCGATGGAATTGATGGAATTGATGGAAAAAGAGATAAAGAAAACGGATGTGGACAGAGGATATTTGTATGATACGAGAATGAGCGAGGTCTGGGAAATCACGCGCTAGGGATCGCGTCCACCAATGAGAATGCAGGATCACAGACCAACCTTGATCTACCGGGAGACCCCAGAGTTGGAAACGCCGACTTTGCCGTGGTCCATCTTTGATCCTTCTATAATCCACCACCAACAATGTAAATATACAATAAAAAAAGAAGCATTATACATTCCAAAAGATGCCGAATACACCAGAATACATTAATTATGGATTCAAAGGAGGTTGGTTGCAAGATCAAGAATTCAAGTGGTTGACATTCTACACTCCCTGATCCTGCATTCCTATTGGTCCAGAGCTCGCTTAGTTGGCAGTACCAGCACTTTGATTCAGCTCAGCCAATCAGAGCTCACCGCAAATCAGTCTCTGGGCTACACGCTACGCAGTCCCTAGTCCTACGCGCTGAATTTCCTGCCTGATCCAGATCGGCTCACTTCCCCTGATTCGTTGCTCCCTTCCAGATCAATCCCCCCCTCCCGACTCCTACAAATACTCTTCCCCCACCCTCCTCTCTCTTCCCTTTTACATCCATCCACGCCAACCAACTCTTTCATCAACAAAAACACTTTTTTCATCAAGTCTATCATCCAAGATGGCTCGTACCAAGCAGACTGCCCGTAAGTCTTTCCTTTTTTTTTTCATACTTGTCCATTTTTCCTCCCTCGCTGGTAAAGCCTGCGTGGTCAGGTGACCGTGTCCGAAGGGGGATTTAGTGACGCGTTCACGCGTGGAGAAGAACCATTTTGCTAACTGTTTAAATAGGTAAGTCCACTGGTGGCAAGGCTCCCCGTAAGCAGCTCGCTTCCAAGGCCGCCCGCAAGGCCGCCCCCTCCACCGGAGGTGTCAAGAAGCCCCACCGCTACAAGCCCGGTAAGTTCCGCCTCATGTCGAACATGGCATCCACCCAACCCACTCTAGAATATTTCTAACGTTCCATCTCCAGGTACCGTCGCTCTTCGCGAGATTCGCCGCTACCAGAAGTCCACTGAGCTTTTGATTCGCAAGCTTCCCTTCCAGCGTCTGGTCCGTGAGATCGCCCAGGACTTCAAGTCCGATCTCCGCTTCCAGTCCTCTGCCATCGGTGCTCTCCAGGAGTCCGTTGAGGCCTACCTCGTCTCTCTCTTCGAAGACACCAACCTCTGCGCTATCCACGCCAAGCGTGTCACCATCCAGTCCAAGGACATCCAGTTGGCCCGCCGTCTCCGTGGCGAGCGCTCGTAATTTTTCTTTTCAACGAGCTGGTTTTCTGAAAGGCGATCATGGGGTTTGTTTTTATCTTTTTATCATGACTACTGGCGATACATGATGGGTTTGCTTTCAAATATCAATGGGTTTCGGCACCGGGTTGCCTCGCAATTTTGCTTTTTTTTTTATTCGATGCTACTGCTCACCATCGATTGATGAATCAGTCATGGGCATGTACATTATGGGGGCCCCCTTTAACATGATGCCTTAGCGCGCATCATCTCATGACAAGACGCTTCAATGCTGTCTTCTATGGTTCATTATTCCACTCTATTCCGGTAAACGATAAACATGAAAGGGTAATGTGTAGAAACCGACGCGCCTTCTTTTTCCGCTGCCTTGGTTTACGTTCTCTCCTGTGTTCACATTGCTGCATGTCGAGAGAAACTCTTCGGTCGCAAGACTTGCCGTCTACCTCCAAACAGGTCACGCCTCTGGGGCTAATGCCGACGCCCAACAACACCATCCAAAACGAGATGAAAATTTGTTTTAGCCCGCAACAATAAGAGACCTTGTCTCTGAATGTGATTATTTAAGAATCAACAAACAAACGAGTGATTCGATCCCACCCAAACTCTTCCCGGAAGTTCTCCTTCTCATTGCACAACAAAGAGGCAACATCATCAACACCACACATCAATCATTGGACAGTCACATACAGACAACGGATTCTGATGGCCACTTGGAAAAACCGCCTAAAGAACGCATGCCACCTCAGTGTACCGGGATTTCAGAACTGGACTGCCACCCCCGAGCACTCAATGCACCAACTTGGACTGTGACTTCACCTTGACTTATCCCCAGTTTAAGACGTAACTGGGAGTTGGAAATCCCCAATCAAGTCCAACTGTACAAAAATTCAGCGACCAAGCAATCACACAACTAACAAGTTAACCAGCACACAACCCGAATTCGGGGCTCCGACTAATTCGTGCACATCATGCTAACTGAAATTGACCAGACTCAAGAATCAAATCCGATTGCCGCATGAGAACTTAACTTCAAATTAAATACGCGGATATGATGGAGTCACAATGATCTCAGCGCATCATAGGGCCCCAAAGCGGTGGTAGGTCATTGTCGACGGCCTTGTGGTGGTTCTGTATCCGTACCTAGGCATATAATATCAGTGACTCATCGCCTTTTTAGCCAGGAATATTCCCGAATAAGCCATTTTTATCTCTACTCAATTATCAAGTCGAACTTGGGAGAACAAGGGAGTAGATAATTTTAATACAGATCTACATGTGTATGAATGTCAGTTGGTCGATCCTGGTCTAAAACCCAGCACGCAAACTAGAGGCAACTGGGAGTGCACTCCTAAGACAGCAATTCTGATTTTACAGCATTGCATGGATTTCTAGGAAGGTGAGCTATTTGGTGTTACATATGTGAAAAAAAGAAAACGATGGTAACCTACTCGCAGGGCTGACCCAGACGCTGGATGGCACCTGGGCAGTTTAGGTGTCTCTCTCCCAGCTATCATGAAGACTTAAAGTGGGGATAGAGTGACTTGAACGCGTGTTTCGTTTCTTTGATCTTGGTAACACCATCGCTGGAAACTATTCGAGATTTGGGAATCAAGTAGCTGAGGCAGAGGGGGTATCTATGGATTTAGGTTGACATGTATACCCCAGTTAAGTGCCAAGATCAAGGCTATATAGCCTGGTAGGAAATGTACTTATTCCCAGTGGATCCAAATCTGACAGCTGGCCTGAGGCCAAAACAGAAGAAGGCGCCAAGCACCGCGGAAAATTCTAGCGGTAGAATTTAAGACATCGCTTTCCCTGGTTCTCCTTGCTCATTTTTTTTCTGCAAGCCACCCGCGTGTGGCCAGTTAGTTTTTTCTCATGGCACTGCCGAACCTTGACCGAACCTCGGAGATTTAGTACCTGAGTTTTTCCCCTACTCAAGGTACACCATATCTCTGACCGATCCCCAGCTGGAAGTTGACCAGCTTGGGAGACGTCTTTCCTGCCTTTTATTTTAACTCGAGTCCGTGCATGCCTCATATGACGGCTTATACCAGCCCATGCGCGTCTTTGACATGGGTGGCCTGATAATCTATATGAACTTCATCAAAACAATGTACGGAGTACTCCGTATATGGTATACCCCTATTCAATGACAAGAATCTAAATATGGCCATTTCAAAGTAGCACTAGACTGACTCCGCTCCGATTATCTCCATGGAAACCTGGATCACGGCGCTGGTGCCTATTTGGTGGTTGATTTCAAAGACGAGACGAGTAAGCAAATTATGGTGTTAACATCGGAAGTCGGCAATCGGGTACTCAACGGGGGCTGATCAGAAAAGACTGGAAACTTTATACACACATTGTACACTGCATCTCCACCATGCATAGGCCTCTTCATCATGAGGATTGATAATCATAATATGATTCATACGCAACTTACGAAGTACATGGAGTTTAGTCGGTCATGATTACAAAACCCACACGCACCGGAGATTATCCTTAGCTGACCTGATCTACGGAGCAGAGAACTTTAGATCTGCTCTCAGCGTCCACGGGTGGATGAAACTTCGGTAAGGTACCGAGTCCGATTGGAGCGTCCAAATGTGGAATCCCAAACCTATGCACGGTCCCCATGTGCATATTTACTTATGGGAACCATCTGTGCATTAGCATATTATGTACAATATTAGCTAAGCTAAACGAAGTCAATGTCCCCTGCGTTATACGGTGTACAGAATAGAATAGACTAGAGAATAAGTAAAAGTGGTAGGACCCTGGGAAGTTCGACTTGTCATGAAACCTTCGGGAAGCCAAGTGGGCCAATCAGATCGATGCCGCATACCCGAGTGGCTCAACATAAAACTTTCATAAATCACGTGGCGGTAAAAACGTGGCTGCAAACAGATAAGCCCCGAGCAGGGTTGCACCTGCATCTGAATCTTTGTACTCCGTCCTACGCATAACCTTTTAATTCACTGTGGAAGTACACCAGTACACTGTTCGAGGTGCGAAAGCAGTATGAAACCGACATAACTTTTTAATCTCAAATACCCCTAAAATAACACAAGGGACCAGATCCCAACTTTCATGGTCAGAATAATATCTTGGCCGGGCCTAGGACCCACCTATTCCACCCTATCCTACCTGCACACCGGATTCTACATAGCCGTGCTCTATTTGCGCTTAGTGCATCCATAACCCTGCAGTTGCCTTTATATATAGAGGAGCTCCATCCCGAGGTCTCTGCACTGTAATCATTCCGCTAATTTTGCTCGGCATCTCCTTCCCCCGCAAAGCTTCATACCCACCGCTTTTTTGATCCTACACATCCTTAATTTCGAATACACACATCGTAATCTCAATTTAATTCCTGCCCACTATGGCAGCAGATCCTCAGGTCTCAGACAAGATTGAGTCCTCTGCCCCAACGACGATTCCATTCTGGCGCTTGGTCTTTGACCAGGGTGTTGTCACGCGAGATATCATTGATCACCCATACCCCGGTTCAGGAACAGATGAGGACCCATTTGAAGTAACATGGATTCCAAACGACCCTCGCAATCCCATGAACTTCAGCGAGGTGAAGAAATGGACTATTACCATGCTGGTGGCCATCGCAACATTGGCTGTTTCACTGGTATCGTCTGCCTATACGGGCGGTCTCCGAGAGATCATGATGCAGTTTAAAATCGGGGAAGAACTTGCCACTCTTGGTGTCTCGCTTTTCGTTCTTGGTTTCGCGGTAAGACTTCGACTCTCCAGACATTGGCCCTTGAGCTTGTATGGTTGGTTTTGCATGCTAACGTTTCTTCGGAATAGATTGGACCATTGCTCTGGGCTCCACTGAGTGAGCTGTTTGGCCGCCAAATCCTTTTCATTACCACCTACGCCGCTCTCGCAGCTTTCAATGCCGGAGTCGCAGGTTCCAAAAATCCTTGGTCTATCATCATACTCCGGTTCTTTGCCGGTTCTTTTGGATCCTCGCCTTTAACTAACGCTGGTGGTGTCATTGCGGATATGTTTCCTGCTAAGCAGCGAGGTGTGGCTATGAGTTTGTTCGCCGCCGCACCCTTCCTCGGCCCCACTGTCGGCCCCATCATTGGTGGCTTCATTGGTATGAGTGACGGCGGCTGGCAATGGGTCATGGGTTTCCTTGCCATCTTTTCTGGTACCGTTTGGATTCTCGGCTCTCTGACGATCCCCGAGACCTATGCGCCCGTGCTTCTCCGCCGCCGTGCGGAGAGACTCTCAAAGCTATCCGGTAAGGTCTATCGGAGTAAGCTTGAAATCGACCAAGGCAAGGTGTCTCTGAAGGAGTCCTTCAAGGTGTCGCTGTCCCGTCCTTGGATTCTTTTGTTCCAGGAGCCTATTGTGTTCTTACTTTCTCTCTACATGGCTATTATCTACGGCACCTTGTACATGATGTTCGCCGCCTTCCCTATTGTCTACCAGCAGTCTCGCGGCTGGAACCAGGGTGTTGGTGGCCTTCCCTTCCTCGGTATCATGATTGGCATGTTGGGTGCCGTCGCTTACTCCCTTTGGGACAACAAGCGCTACGTCAAGGTGTCCGATGAATATAATGGATTTGCACCCCCAGAGTCTCGTCTCCCGCCTTGCCTCATCGCTTCCACCGCAATCCCAATCGGCCTATTCTGGTTCGCATGGACTAACTACCCCTCAATCCACTTCATGGTCAGCATCGCAGCCGGCGTCCCCTTCGGCTTCGGGATGGTCCTAGTGTTCCTCAGCATCATGAACTACCTCATAGACTCCTACACCATCTTCGCCGCCTCCGTGCTAGCCGCCAACTCCGTCATCCGTTCCCTCTTCGGTGCCGCCTTCCCTCTCTTCACCACCTACATGTACAAGAACCTGGGTATTCACTGGGCATCATCGATCCCGGCCTTCCTGGCGCTCGCCTGCGTGCCCTTCCCATTCTTGTTCTACAAGTACGGACCCGCAATCCGCACACGGTGCAAGTTTGCCGCCCAGTCCGACGCATTCATGCGCAAGATTCAGGAACAGTTTTCCGCCCCGCCGCCGGCAGAAGAAAAAGTGGAATACGACCGCACAGAGGCTCCTGCGCCCGAAGGCTCACTCTCCAGCGAGTCTCAGGATGGTGTTGACGCACTCCCCACGGAGCGTGTTCGCAGCCGTGCGCAATCTGTCGCTTCCAACCGCACTGCTGGCTCGCTGGCTCGCTCGGTTACCTATGAGGGAAACCCTTACGATATTGATCGTGTCAACACCCGTGAATCCTTCAAGAAATAGGCGGCTGCTGAGCAGCTAGCATATTCTCTCTCATCTTACCCCTCTCCTGTCCAGGCTTTTCATACCTATACATGCCTGTGTCACTAATCCTATTTTCTATTGGCCCCTTTCCTCTCATGTCCCCAAAAGTGCCTCATTTGCGTGTTATGCCTGTCATTACTTTGATACCCGTTTATATCATACCGAGGGCAACCTCATCCGACTAATGTTTTTATGGGATGCGATATATAGAGCCGGTGTTCGGGTTTTATGTTACAAATGTCAGTTTACCTTAAAAAGCACTTCTTTTCACATATCTCGTCCTTCATAGCGTAGATCACGACAACAAATCCAAGCCTCGTCGGAACCTGCACCCGGGACTGATCTCGGAGTTTCACCTGCTTTTCGGCTCTTATCGCCACCAACCCCGAGTTCGGATTTCAAAGCTTTTTGTTTCCTATTTTTCGATACTATTTCCACTTTCACTTTTGACTATTTCCCCCCACCTTGTAAATATCTAGATGTGGCATTGGAAATGGCCCTCCTCCGAAATGGCCCCTTATTCAGGGCCTCAATCTCACCCTCAAACTCCACTCTCCGCCGACCGATAACCCCCAGATTCGAACCCCAGGTATTCCGCCGAACACGCCCACAACGCCGACACAACTCCAACCACTCTACAGGCCATCCTACAGGGAAAGCACCTGCCGAGAGAAATACCACACGTGAAACCCCACCGCACTCGCACCATTCAACCGCCTCAACCCCACCCCAGCTGCCCAACACAACTTCCGCCGCTACAGCCGCAGCCGCAGCCGGGGCGGCGACCACACCGGCGCGAATTCGTGGATTCCGCGAGGTGATAAAGGCTGGCCCGGTCGGGAAATTCGGAAGATGGTATGCGCGGGTGCAGGCGCGCAAGCCGTACACGACACAGTTCTGGAGCTCGATCATCATCTACCTGTGTGGTGATCTGAGCGCGCAGATGCTATTTCCTTCTGAGGTTCCTGTTCCTGCGCTATCGGACTCGGAAGATGGGGATGTGGTTGCGCAGGGGGGTGGGGGCACTGTGAGCGCTGGCTATGATCCGCTCAGAACTCTGCGTCATCTGTGTGTGGGTGCTGGGTCGAGTATTCCGTCTTATAAATGGTATGTTCTATGATGTTGGTATTCGGTTGTGCGACGTGCGACCAACGGTCTCTTTCGGATTGTTACTATGTGGAAGATACCTGTAGGCGTATGAACATGTTATCTGACATCACCGCTCTCTCTCTTAGGTTCATGTTCCTCGGCAACCATTTCAACTACCCGAGCAAGTTGCTCTCGATCTTGACGAAGGTCGTTGTGCAGCAGACGTGCTTTACTCCTGTCTTCAACACGTACTTCTTTAGCGTGCAATCTCTGCTTGCTGGTGCAACGCTTGACGAGACCTGGGAGCGATTGAAGAAGGCTCTCCCAGTTAGCATCCAGAACAGTGTCAAGCTCTGGCCCGCTATCACCGCGTTCAGCTTCATGTATGTGCCAGCGCAGTTCCGGAATGTTTTCTCTGGGTGTATTGCGGTTGGCTGGCAGACTTATCTGAGCTGGTTGAATCAGAAGGCTGCTAAGGAGGTTGCGGCTGCCGAGGCGCTCGCTGCGACAGAAAGTATGGGTGTTGGTGTATTGCGTGCTGTTTCAGGGGCGAAGATGATCTCTGTTAGGGCTGCATGAAAATACGAATAGTAGACAATAGAATTAAAAGGACCGTGAGTGGTTGGATATATAGATTTATAGATCCCTGCCTGGTATCGGCGTTGGGAATATTTCTTTTTTCTTTTTCTAAAGGGGAAACGACGTATGGGGATACTTAGAGCAACTACTTAGATCAATCGACTTCAATATCTTTAGCTAACTTGCAATCTATGTAATCTCTCTTGTATTTCTACAACTATCAAGTATGTGATGGCCAGCCAGTAAGAACAACGGGATTCTTCAGGCAGCTCCCTCACATGGCAATGACGCACCCGAACGTCAACTCGATCTACACAACATGATCCTCTCTAATCGCAGGCATGTCCTGCCCAGAGATAAACGAGGATGAATCAGACTATGGATCTGACTTCACTCCAGAAGAAGAGGATCTGTTGACCAGTTTACTGAACAAAGCCGTCGCCAAATACGCGACCGACGCCGACGCCACTTCGATCTTGACACCAACCTGGATCTCGACCCCAACGCCGATCGAATACACCACCGTACCCAAATCCCCCGAACTCGCCGAACTCGAGTCATTGCGCCCGGAAGCTCTAGAGGCACTCGTTGCTGACATCGAGGATGGTATTGAGCCAGCTAGCGTTCGGCCGCCTAAGGTGCTGGGTCGGGCAGGGCCTCGCTCGGCATGGCGGCAGCCGCAGCCTCGACCAGGTCAGGCGGTTAGATCGGGCGCGAGTGCGAGTGCAATGGGGAGGTCAAGCCCGCGCACTGGCAACAGCAACAGGAACAGCCCGTTTGGTATGCTTCTTCGTCTTTACCTTTATATTTCTCCTTCGCCGTGGATCACACGTACTTTCCCTGTGGATCGGTCCCATTACATCCAATCCGAATTGAACTGACAACATCCTTCTCCGAAGCGTTTAGTCGAGAACTCCAATTCAACCGAAGGCCGAGTAAAAGAACGCGAGCGCAACGTAGCGCGCGCGCTCGAGTGGACACAGCAGGATCCCGAAGCCGCGGCGCTCGATACTCGACCCCCCGTTGAACGGTTCCGGCAAGCACCCAACAAAGCGTTCTCGGTGACTGATCTCGTCTCACCAGCTTGGTGCGAGCTGCAGTACTGGTTCACGTTGACCAAACATGGAGGGCAGAAGAAGAGGACTGCTGCAATGAAGAAAGGGAGTTCCATACACAAGACTCTCGAGGATGAGATCTACACTACCGTTCCCGTGGAAATCACGACCAAAGAGGACGCGTGGGGTCTCAGGATATGGAATATCATCCAGGGACTGCGTATGCTGCGCGAATATGGCATCACGCGTGAGATGGAGGTTTGGGGCGTTGTCGATGGTGAATTTGTCAATGGCATTATTGATCAGTTGTCCTACGAGTGCCCGGACCCAGAGCTTGAGGCTACTGCTGCTGGGTACTATGCGGATGCTGTAGCGTCACGAGCGGCGCTCCCAGAGTATCAAATGTCCTTGTCGGACTTTTTGCTTTCTTCTTCGCAAGGCGGGATAAAGCTGTCGGATTTGGGACAAGGTGAAGTTGAGAAAACGGGGCAAACTGAGTTGGAACTACCTGCGGCGGTCTATGACCTGCCCAGGATTTATTTGACAGACGTGAAGACGAAGGGTAATCGATCACTACCGAATGTCAAGAGCACGGGCTTCCGACCTACTCTTCTCCAGTTGCAACTCTACTACCATATGCTCAACCGGCTGATTACAAGCGACGATGTTACTATTGACCTCCTCGCCGCTCGCTATGATTTCAACGCCGAGAAACCGTTCACAAACGCCTTCGTCTCGGAGGTTGGCGGCCTGAATGACCAATTCTTCGACGCTCTCTCCTCCCAAGAATCTGAACAGAACGAGGGTCCTTCTACTGCTAGCCAAGACTCAACCGGCATCCTCCTAACACACAACAACCTCTCCCGTCTTTGGAGTCTCATGATACAACAACTTCGCCTCACATTCCTCCCTGAAAACTCCGCCGACACACAATCCGTCGCACCATCTATCCCATCAGTCTCCCAGCCAGAGCTCTTGGAATCATACTCAACCCTCCTCTCCCCAGTACTTACAGCTAGATACCTTTCATCTGTTGCCAACGAAGACCTAGACAGACAGCTCATCGGAAACAGATCTTTCCTCTTTGATCCGACAACCCTTACCTCCCACCTCACCGACCAGATGACCTGGTGGCGTGGCAAGCGAGATCCCCGTGGCGTGGATATTATGGACGCGTGGAAATGTCGGATCTGTGAATTCCGCGATGAGTGCTCTTGGCGTGAGGAGCGTGAGATGGCTTATGCGAGACGGGGCGGGGGTCGGAGAGCTGAGCCCATTGCAGATATATGATGCTTGTGGTCGGATTTATATTAAGCATGATCAGCGAGGGTACGGGGATCTCGAATTGGTCAACTCTTGAGAGCATTACATCCATCTTGTGCCTGTCGAGGTCATCTTAATCCAGTGCCGATGTGTTTGGATACACGGCTTCAAGACCAAGATCAGGCACGGCACTGCCATATTTACATCTAAAAGTCCCAACCTTGGAAAGAAACTTCTTCAAAAAAATTGAACAAACGAATGACATCACTCACAAGAAGCCAGAGCCACATGGCATTCAAAAAGGGTACTTCCTAACCTCATCCTCCTTTTCAATCTCTAAGCCCCCTTCAATCTGCACTTTATGCTTCTCATCCAAAATCTCCAACAGAACATCCTGGTACATCTTCTTCCCTTTATACCGACCAACATCATCCCCCCAACTCCTAACTGCATCCGCCAAACGCCCCGGAACATAAGGCTCTTCAACAATCGCAGTTATAGGCTCAAAATAAGTCCGAATAGTAAAAACCACCGCTCCAGATCTAGGCAATCTTCTTAGCGACTGCCTCTCCGAGCGAAAGAAATGATTCTCAATAGCCTGGTTCTTTTCCACTGTATTCCACGATACTGTCTCCGCGTCCTCAGACCCAATACTATGCGACCACGCCAGATTATCATCCACCTGGATGAAATAGTTGTTCCGAATAAATGGCTCCTCGGGCCGCAATCGTCGGAAGAAATTCATCATCCCTTTCTCCAGCTTGCTCTTGAATTGCGGTACGTCGCCTGATGTGTGGATTTCGGACAGCCGCAACCCGAATTTGTCGCTCAGTCGCCAGAACCCAGCTAGCAGCACCGCCCTTGCGAGGAGGTAGTATTCGCCGTCTGGGCGCTCGATCATTATGGCTAGGTCGTCTTGCACGAGTCGGGCTGCTGTCGCCATTGGGTCTTCGGTGAGTGGGCGCTGGGTTATGTGGAAGGTTTCGTTGGTTACTTTGTTGGTGATTCCCGTTGCGGTCGTGGTGAACATGCTTGGGTATCTTTCGGGGAGGTAGGCGCATCTGGTGGGAAGGGTCTTAGGAGGGGATTCTTCGACATAGAGTGTGCATGTTTGGATTGCTCTTACAGTTCTTCGAGTAGTTCGATTGCAGCGTCCATTGCCTCTGGTGCTGTATGGCAGCATTTTCTCCCGCGCTCTTCGATGCGGCGTGCTTTGTCGGCGTGGTATCTTAGATAGTGGTTATCGAGTTCTGCGTGTAGAGGGTAAGAGGTAGTGCGCTGGCAGGATCTGATCATTGAAGAACGACTCACCGATCCATTCGTCCCATTTCATGCTCCGCAGACCCAGCGTGATGTAATATTTTCTGGCGGAAAAGGTTAAAAAGACGGCCAGAAATATCTTCGGTGGATCTGCTTAACGTACGGGCCATATCTAAACGGCCGATAGGGAATCGGCTTCGTCGAATGGACATCCCATCCCGAGTATGGGGCTGCTGTTGGCCGCTTGAAGTCCGATGGAGTCCATTCTATGCAGCAGGAGTCAGCGAGACTTTCGTTCTCATTAACGTATTAATTGACCATTTCCTTACCACCTGGTGACCTAGTAACCTTTCCTCTCCCACCTGCAGCAGGTCTCTCAAGATCACTTCTCGAAGCTTTGGCTGTGCTAGAAGCCCACTTTTTTAAGATCAAGATAACAAGCCACCAACAGACACCGAGAATGAGCGAGGCATGCACGGCCTCTTTCGTTGGGATCGACGAGATATTGTACCATAGGGACTCTAGTATCGAAATGTTCATGGTGAAATACTTCAAGGCAGTGCGTAGTTGCAAGATGCACCAAGAATCGAAAGTCGAGTAATCAAACAATGTTTTTTTTAGTATATAGCGAACACAAATCGGATCGCCCTTATCAGCTTCAGAGTGCGGAGTACGAAATTGACTGCCTAGATGGTGCTCTCATGCGAGATACCGTGTTGATCCGATACGAGATAGGGCCATCTTTGGTCAACCTGTGAGCTGTGATTGGTAATAGAGACAATCTTGTCTGGGGAAGAGGCGGGCACCGTCTTTTTCAATCTGTAAAATCCGAGACCGCATGCATTTTTCCATTGTGAGGGAAATATTTGCGGAGAAAACCTGATGGTGGCGCTGCGCTTATACTTGATAACCTGTGTTACTTGTTTGCTTGCGTTCGATGCGAATATTTCTCAGTTGATTTTTTTTAGAGAAATATTCTAAACGTTTTATCTAGAAGACTTTCTGAGCATATTTTAGCTCTATACATGGCTTGCGACTTTTCGTTGGAGTAAACAGTATTCGCCCCATTTGCGTCGGAAGTGGACTGGAATGACTGGGAGATCAGGAATCCAGATCAATCGACCTAGCAGACCTGTTTGAGACGCATCGAGGAAGCTTGCGCAGGAAAGCGTTTCCCACTGCGCCTTGTCCAGGAAATACTGGGGCTCTAGTTCGGTTGCGTCGTGACCAGGGAAGTAAGAGTCAACCAGGAAAGAACATTGAGAGAGATCAACCTATTGTAGAGTTAGCATAGGGACAGGACAAATCCTCCCAGCGCCACGTTGAGACACTTACGTATTTGCTAGGGTCCTCGATGTTGAGATCATTCATGCCAGATGGAATCTGCGAGGCACCATCCAGACGCGCAAGATAACTCGGCGCATCTGGGAACTCGCCTGGAAGTAGTCCTCGGAATTCACTTCGTATGAACTTGGCGCGCATGTCATTGGGAAGGAAATATGACGACGGGAAGCGGTACCACTCCTTGCCGAAGCACACCGAGTCTCCTGCATGCGTGATATCCACACTCTGAAGGGGGTTGAACACCTTCAATGGAGCGTTATAGGCTGTAACCATCCCTAGAGTGCGCAGCATTCCGGCGTTCAGACCGACTAGTACAACTGACAATGCTGCAAAAATCTTCAGTTTGGTTGGTACGCGGCCGATCAGTTCCTTTTGGTTGGTGGAGCCAAGGTAGGTCAAAATAAGATGGAAGCTCAAAGCCGCGTTGAGTGCCAGGAACGGATATGCTGGGTACATAAACCGCTCTTCCTTGTGTGGCTGGACCGAGAAAATTACGAACCACATGTAAAAGGGAGCGACAAGCGTCATGGACCGCAAGGATGTGTGCAAGGACGTGGTGTGCGATCGAAAGATGATTTGAAAAAGTAAGAGGGGCGCGGATAGCATGGCGAAGACAAACCAGACGTTGAAGTTGAGCAAGAGGTTTCGAACGTAGAAGGTCCACGGCTCAGTTCCAAAGATATCCGGTCCCTTACCTTCTCCCCCGAAGATGTTGTACGCAACAATGTTCCAAGGGACGAGAACTAGCTTTCGGAAGAAAGCATAGTCAACTGCAACTTCAAGAGCCTGGGACACATCTTAGCAACGACATTCAAACCAAGTAGGATGTCACTTACTAGAATAGACAAACAACGAATGATGCCCTCAATGACATTATACAACAGTAAGCCGGCGGATCCAGAAGTGAACCCAACGATAGCCTCTTCAACCAAAAGAGGCACAATGAGAGCACCAGCAAACGGCCACCCAACAATTGTCCCTAGGCCAAACCACATGATGCCCCGCGCTGTTTTCTGGTTATTTTTCCAATCCAAGAACGAAGCCAGACCAAGCATAGACATATACATGGTAAACGTAGAGGGCAAAAAGGCAGTCGAAGCATGAAACATGCCAGGGCTGAATGTGGTGATCATCACAAACAAGAGACCGATGCGGGGACTGAGTGTACGACAGATTGCAGAGTATAGTCGAGTCTGACACGCTGCGCATAAAAATGCAAGAGAGAGGCGGATTGTGTAGAATTCAGCTGTCTTGGTGTGGACTACCAAGGACCCGATCTTGCCTACGGCAGCATGGAGCGACACGTAGAGCCAGCTACGAATAGAATAAGCCGGTGAATATTCCCAGGTTTGAAGACCATATCCATGCTGCAGATAATGTACAGGTTCCCAAAAATTAAAGACCTCGTCACAATCTTGAATTGGAGAGAATATGGCGGCAAGAGTGTTGGCAACTAGGCATAGGTAGAGTGTGATGTTGAGGGGAATGTAGAAGGGGGCTGGTGGGGGTCTATGTATTGGTTAGTGTCATCCTTAGTTCAAAAATAGGTTCATTGAAATACTGCTTCTTTGTCCGAGGCTTATGGGCATCCCCAGAAGAATAGTCGTTCCCTGCCATCTTGCAAGTTGGAGTTGAGTCGCGAGGTATCAATTGGATCCATGGACGATAACCGATAAGACCTTCTTGACCGCCCTGCAGAGTCTGGCAAAATAAAAAAAAAGTTTCCCGTCCAACTTTCTGATCTTTCCAAGTCAACTCGTTTTTATTCAAAAAGTACTGGAGTTGGTAGATTTCAATATGGACGGACACCACAAATCATCAAGTGATACCACATGTGTGGATGAAGGTCCTGCCCCGAAAAAACCCTGTCTTATCGAGACGCCTATCGCAGGGACTCCAGACAACGGCAGCGATTTCTATAACACTCCCTTGGCTGCAGGTCCACCGGACATGAGTACAGATAGCCTAAATGCCGGAAAAGGCGCAGTTGAACTGTCTACTTCCTCGAAGCCAAGCCAGATGATCCCCGGATTAAATCTCATTCAGCACAATTCCGAACAAGAAACTAGCTCGTATTCGACCGAACACACAGTCAAGCAAGAGCAGGATCAACAAGTGGACTTCCAGGAAATCGAAACCGAAACCAAGGAAGAGGAAACCCGGAAAATTATCCAGTTCGAGTCCACCGACGCAGCTATGAAGAATGAGACAGAAGCGAACAAATTCAAAATTGAACCCACTGCCCCTCTCAGCGAAGCTATGGACGTTGAGCAGGATGCCCACCAAGACAACATGATCGAAGCCTCTGGTCAGGCTGGCGATGACAAGGAAGAAGAGCACCCCGAGTGGGAGGTTGACTCTTCACCATACGAGTCATCTTCAGACAGCTCTGATTCCTCGGACTCCGATGATAGTGACGATGAAGACTATCCTATACTTAGCGCAGAGGAGCAAGCTCAGATTCTTATGCGGGCCGAAGGTGGTTCTGACGACGAAGGAGATGGCAAGGGGAAAGCAGGAGGACAACTGCGGACCACCAACGAGATCGAGGAGGAGGTCCTGCCTATCCCTGACGTTAAGATCACCCCCGAAATGAAGATTGTGTATCTCGGCAAAATTCATGCCGCTATTGATAAAAATGTTCTTATCGAGGCTAATACCTCTGGAGAATATCAGGTACTTGAGTCGGGATCCTTGCTGTGCTCCGATGATCGCCAGGTCATTGGCGTAGTAGCAGAGACCCTGGGCAGAGTAGAGAATCCTCTATATACCACCACATACGCCACAGCATCCGAAGTTCAGGAAAAGGGCTTAGTCAAGGGCAAGGATATCTTCTATGTTGAGGAGCACTCCACCTTTGTGTTCACCCAGCCGCTCAAGGGCATGAAGGGAAGTGACGCTTCTAACTTCCACGACGAGGAAGTTGCCGCTGAAGAAATGGAATTCTCTGACGATGAAGCGGAGGCTGAATACAAGCGGAAACTGAAGCAGAAGCGTCAGGAGCGAAAGGAAGCCAGGGAAGGCCCCAAAGGCAAGAAGCCTGCCCCGGGACCATCAAAATTGAACCAGAGCGAGCTCAACTACGACGATGCCGGAGGTGAGGAAGGCTACACCCCGCTTGCACGCCCTACCAATCTCCACGAGATGATGAATACTCGTGAGCCGCCGGTTGAAGGCAACGAGCGTGGTGGGTTCCGTGGCGGAAGAGGTCGTGGCCGGGGTGACCGTGGACGCGCAGGACGAGGCAGAGGTGGACGCGGAGGAAGGGAGTGGGATCAGGATCGTCGACCCCAGCAGGCCAGCGGCTCAACCCACGAGCCTCAGCCTCAGCCTCAAGCCCAGCCTGCTGTTCCCTACAGCCAGCCAATTTACCAGCAACCCCAGCAGCCATACGGGATGCCCCGGCCTTTCACTGCGTATGCGCAGTACTCACAGCAGCAGGCCCAGAGCCCGCAACTAGTGCAACAGCAACAGCCGCAATTCGGCCAAGGTGGAGCGCAGCCACAGATGCCATTCCAGTTCTCTCCATACCCGGCCTTCCAACAACCACAACCCAACAACCTCCAGAACGCCCAACAGGGTGCTCCTCAGTTTAATTCTCAATCCCTGGCTATGTTGCAACAACAACAGCAGCAACAGTTCCTGCAGCTTCTGCAACACCAACAGCATTACCAACAGTCTCAGCAGCATTACCAACAGCCTCAGCAACAGTATCAGCCTCCCCTGGCCCAAAACGCAGCTATGAACTTTGACCAAGTTAAAGCTCAGCTGGATCTGCTACGCAATTTGAGCGGCGGGAACCAGGGTCCTCCTCCTTCTTGATAAATTTGTTTTACATACATGTTCTTCTGTAATATCCTAGCATCGGAATATTTGCTTTGCATACGGAGCGGGGTTTATGTGGGTAGGGAATTTTGTTTGACTAAAAGTTTTCATAGCTCTAATTGAGTGTTTGTTTGGAATATCTTACGGTGCCTACGGGGTGATGTTTAAATAATAAGCGTCTGGAGCATCATGCGTATGAATGATAATGGCTATGAAGCAAGTTCTCTATCTGTAAAAGTACAATCGACCTAGACGTTGATTATCAGCCGTAGGAAATATTAATATTCAGCTGGCTTGGCACTCTTCGCTAGTGTCCAAAAATTCTCCATCTTAGATCGGGACAGCGCTGCTTTGGCAGCAGAGTCTGTTTCACAGATACGGGCACCAAACCATTTCCTGAAAACCCGGCCTTTGGTCTGACCTTCCCAGAGGAGATTACACGTGTTCGCACTGAAATCCCGGGGGTCTCCCTTGTCATCCTCAGTGGATAACCATGACACCTGAGCTTCAGGGCTGTCTGCAGGTACTCGATCGGATCCGGGGTTTTCGGTCCAATCAATGCGGTTCAGCATCAGCTTTCGGTAGTTGTTGATGGAGTGCTGGCCGCCCTCGACGATCACCAGGTTGAGCCGGGGATGCATAACACACATGCCCGTCAGATTATTTTGCTCTGCGTTTTTGCCGATCTTGAAGCGGTTCCGGCCACTCGCCAGACTATCAATTCGGTACACAGATTGGAATATGCCCAACGAGGCATCCTTCTCCTTCTGAGCTTCCAGCTTTTCGCGCCGTTGCTCCTTGGTCAGTTTACGGTCTTCGTTCGCCATCTCGTGTGCTTCCTTCCGATCTGCGATTTCCCTGGTCACACGAGCTTCCACAGCCGTGGGATCCTTCACAGCTTGTTCTCCCAAAACCCGCATGAGATTGGATTTCTTGACCTTTGGAGGCGGTGCTTCCTCGAGTCCCAGTCTGATCTTGGCTTGTTGTTCCTTCAAATCTGCCATGCGTCGTTGTCGACGAATCTTGGCTTGTTCTTTCGGGGTAAGGAACATTGGCTTTTGTACGGGCATGTGCTTTTCTTGCGGAGGTTGAAGCTCGATAGGATGCTGAATATAGCTGTTGAGGGTATCGAGTTTGATGTTTTCCTGGTTATTAATTGCGTCATAGTCACTGCCATCAACTAACTTGGCATCCCACCACTCTATAGCAGGTGGAGCAGGGACAAGGAATGCCTTTTCCACATCAATATCCTCGTCAAGTCCGGCCTGTCGTGATTTCTCTGCAATTCTTTTCTTCATAGCTTCCAGCTGTGCCTGTCTGCGTAGAGCCGCTGCCTGTTGGATATATTTGCCTTTTTGATTGAATAGGAGCTCTCGAGTTTGACGGGGCTTGGCAAACGTTGCTTTTGGGTTGATAGCCGGGTCAAAGTAAGGGTTGTTCTTGATTTCCTCGACAGACGGACCAGACAGATCAAGCTGGGGCCCACCAGCACGCTTTGGCTTGGTTGGTCGTCCATTTGCACCACGATATTCCGGCACAGCATCAGAGAGGAGCGCAGGATGAAGGCCAACATCCAGACCACCGCGAGCCTTGGATATGCCCTCGTCGTCATGCGCTGGTGGTTGGTAGGATGGTGCACTGGGTCTTGGCTGAGAGGGTGCGCTGGCTCGTTGAGTAGCTGCGGCAACTCGAGCTTTCATTTGTTCCAGTTTCGACATAGTAGGAGCCGGTGGTGGGGGGGGAGGAGGACTTGCAGCATCCGGTGCAGGTGGTGCTAGAGGTGCTGGCGGTGTTGGTGTCGCAGTCACGCCACCATGATGCGCTTGTAGGCGAGCGCGCACAGCTTCTGCTTTTGCCCTTGCTTCTGCCATTATTTTCGCGATATCTGGCTTGCCTGGGGCAGCACCTCCTTGACCTGGTACTGGGGACCCATGGTTGGAGCGGGACCTCTTCTGGGAGTTGTCGTGTTGATCCTCAGGGTGAGGACGCTTCAGCATGTTACCCGATGCGTCGGCCATGCTGTCAATGGCTTCTGACTCACTCGGTCTTCTGGCGGTAATATATCACAAAAAGGTTGAATGAACGAAGCGTAGACAAATAACAGGAACTGTGCATGACACGAGTAGTCCACGCAGAAACCCAAAAGGACAAGGCGGTGGCAACTGACAGAAAAGAAGTTGCTCCTCCGGAAAAAAAAAAGTTCGCTCCAGAACTAAAAACACTTGGAGATCTGAATCCGAGCACTTTGATTTCGTGCGCCAGCGTTTTCTGTTGCTCAAGGAGCTGCAGGCTACAATGGCAACTTTTGCGCGCCCGGTCGCCTCGACCATTAATGGGGTCGACTTCAATGTCTACTCCGAGGAAGAGATCAAAGCTCTCTCGGTGAAAAGAATTCACAATACTCCGACTTTGGATTCATTTAACAATCCTGTTCCTGGAGGTCTTCAAGATCCTGCCATGGGCGCTTGGGGAGATCATGTGTAAGTCCTGGCTTGATCAATTTGTAGTTCAATCTTCTAACGTGAGGGGTTTTCCTATTTTACAGATGCACAACCTGTCGCCAGAACTCTTTCACTTGTACTGGACACCCTGGACACATTGAGCTACCAGTACCCTTCTATAATGTCACCTTCTTCGATCACATTTTCCGCCTTCTCCGAGCACAATGTGTGTACTGTCTTCGTCTGCAGATGGGTCGCAACCAGGTCAACATGTACACCTGCAAATTACGCCTTCTGCAATATGGCTTGGTCGACGAAGTTTCTATTGTCGATGCGATGGGAGCTGTCAAAGGAGCCAAATCAAAGGCCACCAAGGACAAGGAAGACGACTCGGACGACTCAGACGATCCCGATGATGATGACTATATGCAAAAGCGGACTGATTATGTCACTCGGCGCATCCGCGAAGCCAAGAAAGAGGGAAAATTGGACGGATTGATGCCTGGCGGACAGAATCCTATTGCCGCAGAAGCCAGACGAGAGTTGCTCAAGGCTTTTTTCAAGGATATCAATGGGTTCAAGAAGTGTGTCAACTGCAGCGGGTACGTTATACAATAATTCTCGACCTTGAATCTGCCTTTCCGAGCTAACGTTATGGTAGAGTGTCCCCCGCTTATAAAAAGGACCGCTACAACAAAATTTTCCGAAAGCAATTACCCGAGAAGCAGAAGCTTGCGATGCTGCAAGGAGGATTCCAGGCACCGAATACCATGGTCCTTCTCGACCAAGAAAGGAACTCCAAGTCTAAGAACGGTTTTTCTGAGATTCACGGAGCCGAGGAGGAAATTCGCCGTGGTGTGGCTGTCGTGCAGGAGGTACAGGGATCGGCCGGCCAGGAATTTATGTCTTCTTCCGAAGTCTATGGAGCACTTCATCTTCTTTTCCAAAAAGAAAGTGAGATCCTGCAGCTTGTGTACAACTCTCGGCCAGTGCCCAAGGGAGTGAAAGTTGTGTCGGCGGACATGTTCTTCATCAAAAGTCTTATGGTGCCGCCAAACAAGTACCGGCCCGCAGTCCAGCAAGGTGCTGGAACAGTCATGGAGGCACAGCAGAACACTTCATTCAATGCGATTTTGAAGGGCTGTGACACTATCAACCAAATCAGTAAGGAGATCCAAAACGAGGAAGAGAAGACCATGTCTCGGGCACGGAACTACAGTGATCTCCTTCAAGCTATTGTTCAGCTCCAAGATGTGGTCAACGGTTTGATTGACCGCGATCGCACTTCGGTCACCGGCTCAGCTGCCGCGTCACAGCCTAACGGTATCAAACAGATTCTCGAGAAGAAGGAAGGTTTGTTCCGAAAGAACATGATGGGCAAGCGTGTCAACTTTGCTGCTCGAAGTGTTATCTCGCCCGATCCCAACATCGAACCCAATGAGATTGGTGTACCCCTTGTCTTCGCCAAGAAGTTGACTTTCCCTGAACCTGTGACAAACCACAACTTCTGGGAGTTGAAGGAGGCTGTTATCAACGGTCCCGACAAATACCCCGGCGCTTCTTCAATCGAGAATGAAAATGGACAAGTAATCAACCTCAAGTTTAAGAACTTGGAAGAGCGCACAGCACTTGCCAACCAACTGCTCGCACCGTCAAATTGGCGCCAAAAAGGCTCGCGTAACAAGAAGGTCTACCGTCATCTCACCACTGGTGATTACGTCTTGATGAACCGTCAGCCAACTCTGCACAAACCCTCCATCATGGGTCACAAGGCTCGTGTCCTTCCCAACGAGCGGGTTATTCGCATGCACTACGCCAATTGTAACACCTACAACGCCGATTTCGATGGTGACGAGATGAATATGCATTTCCCTCAAAACGAGCTTGCTCAAGCGGAAGCCAGAATGCTGGCAGATGCCGACCACCAGTACCTCGTTGCGACATCAGGAAAGCCGCTGAGAGGTCTAATTCAAGATCATATTTCCATGGGAACGTGGGTCACGTGCCGTGACAGCTTCTATGACGAGGAGGACTATCACCAGCTGTTGTACAGTTGCTTGAGACCAGAACATTCGCACATTGTCACTGACCGGATCCAGCTGGTCGAGCCCGCCATGCGCAAGCCCAAGTGCCTATGGACTGGAAAGCAGATCATCACAACAATCCTTAAGAACATCCAGCCCCCAGAGCGAGGAGGGTTGACCTTGAAGAGTAAGTCTTCTACCCCTGGCGAACGATGGGGTGAGGGCAATGAAGAAGGAGAAGTTATCTTCCAGGATGGAGAGTACCTTTGTGGTATCCTCGACAAGAAACAGCTCGGTCCCACCGCCGGTGGTCTCATCGATGCCATCCATGAAGTTTATGGATACAGCACTGCTGGTAAGCTCATCGGTGTTCTTGGAAGACTCCTCACTCGCGTCCTGAATTTGCGGGGTTTCAGCTGTGGTATCGACGATCTTCGGTTGACCAAGGAGGGTGACCGTATCCGCAAGGAGAAGTTAGCCACTGCTCCTCAGATGGGTCGCGAAGTTGCCTTGAAGTATGTGACCTTGGACAAGGCTCCTGGTGACCAAACTGCTGAGTTGAACCGACGATTGGAAGAGGTTCTTCGTGATGACGACAAACAAAGTGGCCTGGATAGCGTTTCTAACGCCCGGTCTGCCAAGCTTTCCTCTGAAATCACTAGCGCCTGTCTCCCGTACGGCCTTGCTAAGCCTTTCCCTTGGAATCAAATGCAGTCTATGACGATATCTGGAGCAAAGGGATCCGGTGTTAATGCCAACCTGATTTCTTGTAATCTCGGCCAACAGGTTCTTGAAGGTCGCCGTGTACCACTCATGATCAGTGGAAAGAGTCTTCCGTCATTCAAAGCTTTCGAAACTAACCCGATGGCAGGAGGTTACGTTTCTGGTCGTTTCTTGACCGGAATCAAGCCTCAGGAATATTACTTCCACGCCATGGCTGGTCGTGAGGGTCTGATTGATACTGCTGTCAAGACCTCTAGATCTGGTTACCTGCAACGTTGTTTGATTAAGGGCATGGAAGGTCTTAAGGCTGAATACGACTCCTCTGTCCGTGAAGCGTCAGATGGCTCCATTGTCCAGTTCTTGTACGGAGAGGACGGTCTCGATATCACCAAACAGGTGCACCTGAACGACTTTGATTTCCTTGCCCAGAACCACATCTCCATTTCCAAGCAAGTCCAAGCAGATGATTACCACAAACTGGCCAAGGAAAACGTAACTACTTGGCACAAGGACGCCATGAAGGCGGTCCGCAAGACCGGAAAGATTGATGCTGTGGACCCTGTGTTGTCTCACTTCCCCCCTGGAGGAAACCTCGGAAGTACATCCGAAGCGTTCGCCCAGGAGCTAAAGAAGGTATGAACTCACTGTCTCTTTCCGGTGATTATTTGCAATTCTAACAGCTTTTGAAAATAGTATGCGGACGTCAACAAAAACAAGCTCATCAAAGACAAGAAGAAGAACATCGAGGGCAAGATTACCAAGAAGACCTTCGAAGCACTGATGAACATGAAGTATATGAAGTCTATCATTGACCCCGGTGAGGCTGTCGGAATTATGGCCGGTCAATCCGTCGGAGAACCCTCCACACAGATGACTCTCAACACCTTCCATTTGGCTGGTCACTCGGCAAAGAACGTCACACTAGGTATTCCCCGTCTACGTGAAATTGTTATGACTGCAAGTGCCAAGATTATGACACCTACGATGACTCTTCTTCTGAACGAAGAGATTTCCAAGGATGACTCGGAGAAATTTGCCAAGGCTATCAGCAAACTGAGTATTGCTGAACTTGTTGACAAGGTGCAAGTCAAGGAACGCATTGGCTCGGGCATTGGCCACGCCAGGGCTAAGATCTACGACATCGACATTGACTTTTTCCCGTCTGAAGAATACACTAAGGAATACGCCATTGAGACCAAGGATGTTCTGATTGCTCTGAAATCCAAGCTCATCCCTCGGTTGGTGAGACTCACCAAGGTCGAGCTAAAGAAGCGCAACGAAGAGAAGAAGGGCGTTAAGGGCACAACTTCCCAGCCCGAAATTGGTGTTTCGGTCGGTAAAATCGCGGAGGCACCAAGAGGCGCCGACTCTGAGGCCCAGCCAGCCGACGATGACAATGAAGACGACGAGGACGATGCCAAGCGGGCCGCCGGAGCTCAGAATAGGGGCAACCAGGTCTCCTACGAAGGACCCGACGCCGGCGAGCAAGATATCATCAGACGCCAAGATACCCCCGATGAAGACGAAGACGAAGATGAGAGCAGCAAGCCTGCCAACGACACTCGCGACGTGCAAATGAAGGACGGCTCGGACTCGGACTCGGACTCCGAAGATGAGTCTGACGATGAGACCGTCCACGACAGCAAGGCGTGCGAGGAAGATGTCGTGGGCAAGTTCGAGGAGATCACGAAGTTCAAGTTCGACCCAAAGAACGGCAACACGTGCTCCATCCAACTGCAGTACGACGTTGAGACCCCCAAACTTCTCCTCCTTCCCCTGGTTGAAAAAGTTCTGCACCTCGCTGTCATCCAGTGCATCCCCGGCATGGGCAACTGTGTCTTCGTCGAGGCCGATGAGGCGAAGGGTGATCCCGCCAACATCCTCACTGAGGGTGTCAACCTGCTCGCCATGCGTGACTATCAGGATATCATCAAGCCCCACTCGATCTACACCAACTCCATCCACGACATGCTCAACCTGTACGGTGTTGAAGCTGCTCGCGCTACTATCGTCCGCGAAATGGATGCCGTTTTCAAAGGTCACAGTATCTCCGTTGACAACCGTCACTTGAATTTGATCGGTGATGTGATGACACAGTCCGGTGGCTTCAAGGCCTTCAGTCGCAATGGCTTGGTCAAGGATGCCTCATCTGCCTTCGCACGGGCCAGTTTCGAGACTACCGTCGGCGCTCTGAAGGACGTTGTGCTCGAGAGGGGTGCCGATAACCTCAAGAGTCCTAGTAGCCGAATTGTTGTTGGCCGTGTCGGTACCGTTGGCACTGGTTCGTTCGACATTCTTGCTCCCGTAGCATAGTCCCTGACTGGACGGAGTTTTGAAATGTGTCTTTCTTGTCTTTTCCTCATGTGTATATTGTGTTTATGCAACGCTTTCATTATTTTATGTGTTTTCACCTCATCTTTGATGTGTCGATGATCTGGAGTTTGTCTTTGTGCAGCGGAACCAAAAAGTCCTGTTCATATTAGCATCTTGACTTGTTCAATAAAATAAATCTTTAACCAGGTAATGATGTTCAAGCATGGCTTATACTTCTATTGTAGCCTTAAACAGCCATGTATGTCTCTAGGCCTCCTTACCGTTACCCCGGAAAAAGTCCCCCGCTATCACTAACGACTTTTGAAACTTCCTTCTTTGGATGGATGAAGGTCAATCATGCCCCTGGAGCACTTCAGATCTCGAAATCATAGACCGGATATTGTTCACTTTCGATTCAGTCATGCCAGAACGCTATTGAAATTCGTTTTAGCCAGCATGAATCCAAGATCTGCCGAGGACCCTTGGTGATGTTGTGGGACTACGCTGCGACTTAAAGCTGCGACTTAAAATGAGACTCCAATCTCAGTTGCAACTTCTATTAATCTCTTAGAATGCTCTGCACAATCCACGGGAAAGATCGCAATTCTCCAAAATGCAAGGCGTCGTTATCAAGGGCCCGTCGAAGGTAGCTATCGAGCATCGAGCAAGCGTCCCTCCCCCAGATCCAAGATTCAACAGATTTTATCTTGAAGGCACCACACACTGCGTTATGTAGCAGGTAAGATATCAGGAACTATCTGCAAAAGCCTATAATCCCTCATATCTGCAAACTGAACTCCATGTCTTTCGCGGCCACCAAAAGTCTGGCACAGAGTTTGTCATAGGCTACAAGTTTACAGGTGAAGTTGTCAAGCTTGAATCGGACATCAAGAACTTCCAATCGGGAGATCGAGTAGTCTCACCGTTTACTATAAGCTGCCGGGAATGTTTCTACTGTGAGCGTGGCTTCTCCTCTTGGTGCGCTCGAAGCCAGCTGTTCGGTACTGTTGCACTTGATGGTGGATAGGCCGAGTACGTATTTCGCTAGCTGATTCGTCTCCTGCCAAATTCCCAGCTTCATTTGACGAGGAGGAGTATGCCTTTCTTGTTCGAGAAATCAATCATAACCGAGCAGATGGATATGTAGAGCCTTTCGGCGTGAAAAGGGACCTAGGTAGCTGCTCCTCAATGCCTTGTAGCTCCCCCCCTTGGACTCGCCGCGATCTTGATGCTATAACAATCACGGCTGGGCGACAAATACCACATGAGAGGACCCACACTGGCATTAGTATTTGTAGAAGACTATGCTGTCAGATTATTTGGTGTTTTCTCTGCGGTGGCGGGATCCAAGGCCAAAAGTGCCGCTTCTATGGCCTCTCAAGCCAACAACAAACGAGGACAGTAGACGCATGATAATCTAGCGCTACCTTGATGGGATTTGGAGGTACATCCTGGTGGAACTGTGACCTATTTGATATTCCAAGAGCAGGGTGCGCTTATCTACCGTCTGGGGATGTGGACAACTATTGAGTCCTCTTGTCCGGTTGAAGATACGTTTGTTAATGAATGGCCAAGTTATAATATCTTGATATTGCGTACAGTGGGTGCTTTGAATCTCTGGTTCTGTTATTCCATTTAATAGGGCGAGTGTGGGAAGAAGATCATTGAGGGCTCACTAGATTTCAGATACTTGATCCGATACCGAGCTACACGGAGCACTGTATAGATGCCTTGATCATCTCCCCTCAGGATTTGCTGAGATCCCGAGGAGAGTTCTGTTAAAGATCTGTCTTCAATTGCAAGGTAAATGGTCTTTACCCTTAGAAAAACCATGCCAAATGGCGCAAGTGCCCAATTCCAAACGCCCTGCCCATGCCAGTAGATGCATCATTATGTATAGAACAAACAACATTATTTTATGGCGCATCGAGCATCATGAGGTCCGCATCAATGTTATCGTCGTATTCATCCTCGACGACCAGGGATGCAGACGGGATAATTCCACCTATTGGGTGCCCGTCATTCACCTCTCTCATCATCCGCTCTTCCTCGGTCCTCCTCTTTGCCTCATGTCGCTCGATATCAGCCAAGCCCCAGGTGGAAATGCCTTCTTGATCTTTCGATTTAAAAGGCTGGGCCATGGTCCGCAAGAAGTTCTTGGCATTTGATACAGCCATATCAGTGCTAAGATTGGTTTCGCTGTCCAACATTGCCTGGTTGATCCACTTGGGGAGTTGAGGACGCTTTCGCTCGAATCGACGATCTGCCAACACCATGACTCCGTAGTCGTCTTTTCCACGCAAGACACGACCCAGACACTGGGCGGCATGTCGAATAGCGTCGAAAGATAAGAAGTCGTTCTCCCGAATGCGGTAATTCTCACGCAAGAACTCGAGACGAGCTTTCAGAATTCGAGATTCTGTGTATTGGAAGGGAACACCAATACACAACACTGCACGACCGTAATGGTGATCGAAATCAATACCCTCGGAAACTTTGCCTCGAGCGACACAGAACAAGATTGCGCCACGTCCGTTGCAACAAGCTGTTCGGTAAGTCTCCAGGGCGAGTGATGATTCTTGTGCATCGGGGGTTTCCACGAGAATCAATTTATAGTTCCAGATTTGATCCAGAATGCCCATACCTTGCCACATGCTAATGATTGATTCCATGTAGAGATAGGAGGGGAAGAAAACGACAACGCCGTCGGGTGTGATGCGAGCAAACTCGGTAACTAGGCTTCCGTAGTTTCGCACAACACCGGGGTCGTTGCGAATTCCAAACGAAGATGAAACCTGTGCTTGGTCTGAGCCTCGAGTGACAATCATGGGCAAGAAAGATCGCCGAGCGAGTGTCATGCTGTATGATTCCTGCAGAACAGCGGTGAACCCCAGCATTTTCGGATACATTTCTAAGGGTGACAATGTTCCCGAGGTAATGATCACAGAGCTGAAGCGATCGAATACCGGCTTGATGGCAATAGCGGCATCCAAGCACGTGAAATGGAGGATCGGATTCGGTACAGTAGCCGCTTCGGACTCGAAGGGCTCAAGGATGAGAACAAATCCCTTATCATAAGTTGCGACCAGTGTTGCAAATGTTGCCACCTCTTGAAGAGGCTGATAATCTTCAATGTTGACAAGTTCCAGCGTCCGTACAAGTGACGTCAAGCGCTCGGCACAAAACCTCAAAGGCTTTCGTTCAATATAAGTAAGGTCTTTCAGGTGAGTGAGGAAAGAAGGAGGTGTCTCAGAAATGGTATGGGTGACCTTCATCCGAGTCTTCAGATATTCGATGAATCTCTTCAAAAAAGAGACAAAATGTTCAGCCCGGCGAATGTTACCAGGAACAGCTTCCTTTAGTAAATCATCTGGCAAGACCGGATTCGAGATAAATTGATCTTCTTCCCGGGCCTTCTCAGCTTCCTGCAGCCCCTCCACTAATTTTGAGTATTCGTTCTTGAGTTTTTCTTCATCTGTGCTCTTCATTTCTTCGATTCTGCGTTCCAGATTGTTTGCACCCCGAGTCGCTTTTCGTAGAGAATCCTCGCTCAGGTCTATACTGAGTGATTCGATACAGACGTTGTCAATGTTGTGCGCTTCGTCAAAGACCACGATGCAATCTTTTGAGAGCTCTCGTGACACTCGTTCCGCAATTTTAGGATCGAGAAGATAGTGATAGGAATAGATAATGATATTGCACCACGGCATCTAGTGATACATGTTAGAAATGGGGTACTTTGTGTGGAACACTTGCTCGAGATCTTACCATGCGTCGAGCGGAGAAGTAGGGACATTGTTTATGCTCTTCTCCGTATCTTGCCAACCCGTCGAGTGTGAAAACGCCGGGGGGGACGAGGTTATGTGGTTCGAGCAAGTCAAGGTTCTAGGCCTGTTAGCTCGTTCAATGCTGCATTGCAGATAACAAAATCATACCTCATGGTATACGCAAAGCTCAACATCTTCACCGCGCTCCTTCTTCTCCTTGACAAACCCAGCCGTCAAGCTTCTGCATCTAGCATCAACTACGGTACCGCTTTTCTCTCTCTTTACCGAAGGATGAAGACAAAGATTCTTCCGACTGGTTAGGCCAAGCGCACGGAATTCCTCCTCATGACCCAGCTCCTTAGCACGATGTTCCATCAAAGCCTTCAACTCCGCTAACGCTTTCTCGATCTCCGACATGGTTCGGGAGCAGTAGATGAGCTTACGGTGCTCTGGATAATGCTGTTGGTAGGCGACGATCAACGACAGTAGCGAAACTGTCTTGCCAGTTCCTGAGGGCATTTCCAGCACACAGTGACCCCCTGCGTCGAGGGTCTTTTTGAGATCGCACATGTAGGCATATTGTTCGGGGTAGATGCGAGGATATGGAAACAGCACCGGAAGATCACTGGTGCGGACGGATGTGGTCAGCTTGGAGACTAGATAGGCACCATGCAAAGGAGACATACTCTATGAAGAACTTCATCTTGGCTGGGCTCCGATGCAGAACGCAAGAGGGCAAAGGATCGAAAGTGAAGAGAGCTCGCTCTCATCTTTCGCGGCTCCGCGTCTGCGCTTGTCCTATTTGGGACAGCGATGACACAAACTCACGTGATGGCTATCTGAGTCCCGCGTATCTTTTGGAGATCCAACATTGAATGCACTTCGACTTTTACTCATGCGATGGGAGAGTGATACAGTGTTCAATCCAATTGAACCAGAATCTACAGCCAGAGCTCTTTATTCTCTGCAAAGCCTTTCCAAACCCTCAATTTGAGGTCATCTCCTACTACTTGCTTATCCCGCTGACCTCATACCCCACATGAGCAAAAAGTTCAAATCTCAGGCCTCCAGCAGTCGCGCTGCTGCTAGCGCCTTTGGATCATTCGGGAGCTTTTCTGGCGGTCTCTCCAGCGAAGGAAAGGAGCCGTCCGCTCTGACATATATTGCAGCACCTCCGGATCTTTCTCGCATCGCGGAGCAGCAACTCGTTATCGCATTCAAAAATTTACTGAAAAAAGATGACATAACACGGTTGAAAGCTCTAGAAGAGCTGCGCGACCATATATCAACGGTGGAAGAGAAGAAAGGAACTCTTGATGACGGGTTTCTAGATGCATGGGTATGCATAAATCAATTCTAGAGACAAACACCAACTAATAACAATGTTTTCTCTCAGTTCAGAATTTATCCCAGACTCTCTATTGACTTGTCTCGGCGAGTACGTCAGGTTGCCCATCCGATACAAGGAACAATTTCTGGTCTTGTGGGGAAGCGGATCTTGCCCAATTTACCCAAGATCATTGGAGCATGGATCGCAGGAATCTACGA